GGCTTCCACTTGGCTCCTGCATAAACAAAGCGAACATATGTCCCATATTCGTGACAGATGGTTCAAACAGAGAACTATTTAGTGGTTTTCCCACAGTTGCTACTATGTAGCGCTCCCCGAAACCCAACAAAATGCAATTAGCCTAAAATAGTGTCAGCTTCCAGATTTCCTTGTTTTCATGTGCGGAAAATTTGATTCAGGTGTTTTTATGTTTTAGCTGCAACCAAATGTTTGGGTTTTTTTCAAATTAAAACAAAAAAATCAGTATATACTTTACTTGGCAATTTTGTCAACGAGATATTTGGCCCATTTGACTGAAGGAATTTGCTTCTCCTCACAATAAATTTTGCCTAAAGGAGTTTGCCTCGCCTCATGAGATAGATGATCAGGCTGGCCACTTTTATAGCGAAAACTGGATGGCACATGGAGCTAAGCTGTTGTAAGGTACTTCAGAAACACTTACTTAAAAGCTTAGCATATGCCAGGATATACAGAGAATACGACATTCACAGAACCCGAGTGGAAGCTTTGTATTTATTTTTGTTTTCCTCTCTCGACACTTTTTCTTAACGGATAGATTTGTATTTCTACCAAAAACAAACAAAAAAACCCAACAAACTGTCCAGAGTCCTGTTTCTCTCCATGAAGCCGTAATAGTGATGCCAGGTTGCAACTGATTAAGTCGCAACTGTTTGTGTTTTGGTCATTTGATATGAAGGGGCATATACTATTATATGGTCACAAAATCTATTATCTGCTGCATGTACAAGGATATAATTGGAGAAACAAAGACAAGGACCAGATTTCTAGAGTATTTCAAGATAATTAGAAGGTGCTAAGTTGGTGATGGCATTGATGATACAAGTCAGGTTCAGCTTTTGAAGCAGCTGGTATTTAATGAAACAAGTTGGCCTTCCAAACACGTCAATACAAATTGGGCTGGGTGATATAGAGATGATTACTTCTTCGTTGGTAATTTTGACACCATTATGGCACGTGATAAGCTTTGTATAGAAGTTATCTGTATGTTTAATACACAGGTAGCATTATTCTCCTGTTATTTACAAGTCTAAGCCAGGAAAAGCTACAACATTCACAGCAGAGCAAGGCAAGTGGAAATAAGACTGAAACCCAGGCCACTGTTTACAAAACCATTCATGTATTAATGTCCTGAATACATACACACACACAGAGTATTATTTGGCATATAAAAGCAACACATTGCAAATCTCTGCATTAATAGCTACTTTTGCTGTTACAAAACACAGCTTTTGTGGGGTGTTTACTATTACAGTGAAACTGAAATCATGTTTTAAGTGTTAAAAATTGAATAAAATGTTACTGACAGTTCAGAAATAACAAGACAGCTGGAAAGCATGCATCCGAAATTCTGAATATTGTCACTAAACACTCCCCTTGCCAGTATTTTGACTCATCTCTGGAAAAATGTCACCCAAAAGTGAAAAAAAGGTTAAAATGCCTTAATCCAAAAAAGTTTTAAAATGCAACCGTGTTCTGGGAAAAAAAAATCCAAGGAGAAAGTCCATGCTACGTACAGTTGCTCAGAATGCCCAACCGCTGCACACTCTTTAACAGGACTGTAGGTGTGAGAAAGCTACTTGCAACTCACAAGGACATTCATTCCACAGCAGAAATTATAATTTTTTTTTTCTTTCAGAGATGGAATTATTTATAAATTTATAAATCAACTTATTTCCAGTATTTTTTAATTAATCTCTGGATGCCATCCTTTCCATTTATTACTAAACTAATTTCCATGTCCTGCTAGCACTGAGACAACACAAGTACTTTACTCTCTTCGTAGAGGATCGCTGTGATTTTGGGTAGCTGAAGTCACTTGCGTGTTGGACTGGTATCACATTAACACACAAGGTATGCAGCTTTCCTGAACTGCAGTGCCATGATGTATTAGTATTGCTTATATATACTCTGCCGCAAATCGTAGCTACAAACTGTTTTCATTTTTTTTAAGAATTTAAAAAGATACCAGACAAAAACCCATAAGCCACTCCATGGCTGGAGTCATAATCCTTCTGTTCTTTGCACATTCTTTTCAAAATTCCTTTTACCTCCTCTGGGGCTCCTCTGGGGTAAAATTAAGTCAATGGGTACTTTGCTGTTGATTTCAGTCAAACCAAGGTCCACCTTACAATTTGTATCTGACAATCGCTCAAACCATAAGGCTCTTCAGTCAAATAAATAACTAAAAAAATAAACCATACAGAAGTCCTTAATGTGAACATTTTAAAGATATGTAAGCTGGTTTTCTATTCTGTTGATTGAGTTTTACATAAAAGTTCCCGAGAAATTAATGTAATATAACATATATAAGGTACAGCTGGTAGGGACAAACATTTCATTAGAAGACAGATGACAACATGATCACCACTGAGTTATTGTTTAAAGGCCATTACAATATCAACAATGTGGAAGACAGTACTAACTACTTCAAGCTACTTACTGCCAGCATTAACTGCTAGTACTTCAGTCTTTACATAACTTCAGTTACTTGGTTCTTTCTAGTTACCTACATTAGCTGGTATTCTTTCATTGAAAACTTTTAATAAAGAAAAGACAAAGTAATGAGGATAGAGGGGTTATTTGATACTAAAACTTCTGTAAAAAACAGTGCTTCAAACACTGCTCTTTCAAAGTAGGTTGAGATAAGTGAGCCCTAACTATGGGCAGTTTTAAGCTTCCTGTCACCTTGCAGGCCAAACCCAGATGCTCTGAATACAGCAACAGCATCAAACTGCACCTGTAGTCAGGGCCATATGGTACTTGAGGCCAGCCATACAAGATGTGCAAAGTCAGAATGCTATTTTTTCTGCGTTCAGTTTTACTGGATTTCCTTCTGCCTCCTCCTTTACATGTAAATTAACAGTTGACAGCAAACTCTCAGAAGGGTGTCACATGCAAAAAGAACTGACTCAAATGCAGTCAATGTTGTTTTGCAGCCAGTCCCGCATGCAAAAGCTGCGGTGTCGGAGCACTGCATTAGGTTGTTATGGCTGGCAGCGGTTCAGATGCCAATGTAACAGTAAGCTGACAAGAAGGTTGAATTAATACATTAACTGGGCCACAGTTAGCCTGCAGATTCCCTTTGCTGTCTCTGCCATAGACCTCCTTTTAGACTGAACCCTGCAAGAAAATATTGAAGTTGGTGCCGCTGAGCCCGGGGAACATTACACAGCATTATCTGCAGGCCCGGTAGATATGTGAAGGGAAAGTATGCTGAGAATAAGAACAGTGCCATGAACTTTAAATATAATTCTTTGGGGAACAAATAGGTGAAGCAAAACTGAAGCTGAACTAATAAGTCAGATACAGCAGGTGGGGGAGAGCAAGCAACTGATGGGAAAACGTCTGTGTGCCATGGGAGCACAAAAAGTAGTGTTTACACAGGAGGCTTTATTCAATAATGAGAAAGGGAGAATAGACAAGTTAGAGAATTACTAGGGACTGGGGGAACAATCTGAACTGCATTTTTTGTCTTACATTTCTGCTTACCATGAAGTCAAAGTGCCTAGTGGTGGGAATAAGGCGAGAAGGATTTGCTCAAGGCATTAAAGTTTTGTGAAGGACAGATTAAATAACAGTGCTCCAAAAATCAATTTTGAGGGGCTTATGAAGCCTTGAATGGGCTTTTGCAGCACAAAAGCAAGATTGAGTTTTTACTGAACCTGTCATTTATTTGGGTTTAGAGCTTTCAGCAAGTATCAGGAAAAACATAAAACAAAAGCAAAGTAAGCAATGAGCAGTCACACAGTAACCAAATAAAAAACATGTGAAGTGCAATCCAAA